ATGGGGAGGGGAGGGGGAGGGGGAGGGGGGGAGAGAAATCAGCATTTTCCTCCCCTAACTGTGACCATTGTTCCCAGTCTTGTCCTAAGGTTCTTTTTTTTAGTGTGCGCACATTTGTTACTTACACCTGCTATGTGACTATGCCGTCACTTCTGTACACCATCCAATCTGTCAGCTCACACTAAACTGGGTATTGCAAAAAAGGCAGTTATCGGGTCTAAATGTAAAAGCCCAGAGACTAAAGCAGTGGATTTAATTACATAAAAATGCCTTCAAGGCTAAATTCTCATCTTCTGACTCTGCTCTGAGTGCTGGGCTCATGAGCTTCCATGTGGATAGATTCAGTAGTGCTTCGAAGAAAATCCATATTTTCTTTTAACTCTAACCAACCCAGAACCAAAAACACCTCTTTTCTTATGTAGGTAGTAGTGGTGGTGGGGATTCCCCAAATGGATCTCCCTGGCTTGTGCTGAATCAGCCTTCCCTTAAACTGGTGGTTCTCCACCTTTCTAATGCTGCGACCCCTTCATGCAGTTCTTCATGTGGTGAACCTCAATCATAAAATTATTTTCGTTGCTACTTCATAATTGTAATTTGGGAGTCGAGACACATAGTTTATTGGAACCGGCCCTTCTAATTAGTCCTTGTTATGGAATCCAGTAATTGGGGATTGGGCTGAGGAAGAAGCTGACCTGCAGTGTAGCAGCCATAAAGCCCTTAACCAGTTCCTTAACCCAATTGCTACTTACAAAGGATTCCTTGCTGAAGTACCCATTTCCCTGTTGCTGAGTCCTCCCTCTCTGGACAAGGTCACACACACACAAACACACCCAATAGCCAGACTCCATTCAGGGAGATTTTTCCCCTACCCTTAAACCCCTCAAATTGAGGCAGTCGAATTGACCACCCCAACTCTGGAGCTCCTTCTGGGATTCCATAACAAGGTACTGGATTCCATAACAAGGACTACTTAGAAGGGCCCCTGTAGGGGCCTTAGGGCTCACCCTGACCACGCCTCCTGGGGCTGGCTACAGGTATACGCCCCTAGGGGGCGTGGCCAGGATGATGTGAGGGTAGGTCACATGCGGGAAAGCTCTCTTCTCGCTGTTGCTTCCACGTTTTCTGGTCTCCTGCCGGCTGGCTAGGTGCACTGTAAGTAAGGCACATTCACCTAATAAATATACCCTAACCCTATCTGCTTACGTATTGGCGAATCTCCGTTTATAGGCCGGTCCCAATAAACTTCCAGCATGCAAACCTCCCTCTCAGGGTCTGTGTCCCCAAGAACCCAAACCTAAGACACCCAGTCAAATAACCTAGTGGAAAATGATTTTTCAAAGAATACCTGAGGTATTGTAAAAAGGACAAAAGGTAGTATAAACATACGTAAGGCCTTAAGGCACAACCATTGCACAACCAGATCATAATTTATCGACTACCCTATTACTTTATACCACAATTAGTATACAACTTGTGCTTTCCGCCCTACTTCCTAGGCCGCATGCTAAAAGTAGAATTGATGTGTCAAAGAGTAATAATATTTATGCCAAACCTGGGGGCACATGCCTGTGATCCCATGACTTCATTGGCTGAGGCAGGAGTAACTACTTACTGAGTAACTAAACCTTATGTTTTAAACCAGGGACAAATGGTTGAGTTATCTATTTAACATACCAAAGCAGACCTGGCTGTCAGGTTCTCCCAACACCCCTCAGTATCTACCTGTTACAGGGTATGTCATATCCCTCCCTGTTGTATATCCGGTGTGGGTTCACACGGGTCTGTGGAAGTAAGACAAAGAGGTATAAGGATGGAAGTCTTTTCCAGCTTCAGGGGGATCAGTCTTTAGCAGACTCACTCACTGTCCTTATTAGCAAAGGGCTTTTTTAAATTAACAAGTTAATTTCTGTACACCAAAACGTTTTATCTAAGTTCCCCAAGGGACAATGGCAAATGCAAATTCTCAATTAAGGGGCACCTGGTTTGCCAGGTTCTCCCCCAACCAAGTTTGCACAGGCTTTGCACCTTTAGGAAACTCTCAGGCAAGATTTACATATTTCAAAAGAAAGGTACCAGAGACATTAAAGCTAGGTACAAACCAGCTACAAAAATCTCCAGAAGCTCCCCCTACACCACACTTTATCCTGAACTCTCCAGCCCAGGGGCTGGGCTGCCCTTCCCCCAGGGCTCTTCCCTAATAATCCAGATATGGTCATGTCCACTCTGGAGGCTCTCTGCCTCTGACTATGCTCTTCTATATATCTACAATAAACTGTCTCCTCCACTATACCTAGGAGCAGTCATGTTCTTCCTGTCCTTTTATTTCTTTTTTTCATGATGATAAAAACTGAGTTCAAAAATAGTGTGGGTTAGAAACTTTCTTTCTTCTTTTTCCCAAGACAGTTTCTCAGTAGTCGTGGCTGTCCTGGAACTGGCTCTGTAGACCAGGATAGCCTTGAACTCAGAGATCCCCCTGCCTCTGCCTCCCCAGTGCTAGAATTTAAAAGCATGCACCACCACTACCCACCACCCATCAATCATCTTTTATTTTTTTTTAAAAAAAGGATGTGAAAATTTTAAACTGTTCCTATGATGTATACTAAGGCTTATTACATGTACCTAACAATTTTCTGATAGATCTGTATTTATGCCACAATTATTATACACTTTGCATTTTGTTCTTTATCTAAAAAATGAAAAAATGGTATCTTACATCTTTTAAATGCCTTGAGATCAAAATTTCCTATATTCTTTTTAAATGTGCATGTATATATTCCAGTGTTCCTGCATAGGTGTGAGGATGCCTGAGGCCAGAAGAGGGCATGGGATCCCCTGGAGCTAGAATTACAGTCTGCTGTGAACCACCTGATGTGGTATTGGAGAATCCAACCAGGTTATTCTTCTAGAGCAGTGAAGTGCTCTTAACTGGGGCCCATCTCTCCAGCCCCATCCTGTATTACTTTTGTGAGCTATGTATCCATGGTCTTTAAGGCAGTAAAACCTGCCTAGTGACAAGAGCTGGCTATTTGAGAGCCCTCTCTAGCTGCAAGCTTCTTTAGCACTAAGGACACAGTGAGAAGGTGGGAACATACTCCTAGACTGCCAAGGGCAGAATAGAAAGGCTGTGTGTTGAAAAGAAAAGCCAGAGAACTCAGTGCACAGTTCAGGCTGAGGGGTGAAGGCTTTCTCAGACAGTGGGACCTGGACCTTTTAAGTGCATGCTATGCAGATGGCTAAGAGGAAAAGGAAACATTCCAGTGAGGAGAGGGAGAAGTGATGCACACCAGAGAGGATAAATGGGGAAAAAAACCCAAAACAAAAAAACAACAAGCAGAGGGCATTGGTAGACAACAGAAGACCCAAAGCTGCTCAGCCAAAATCAAAATCACTGAAAACTAAAAACAAAAAAAAAATAGACTGTTTTTTGTCATTTTGGTGGGAGGAGTGTCTGGAATGCAGTCATGGATAGGGCTGTAAGGGTGCTGAAAGACTAGTATTTCACTGTGGCTATGAAATGTGAAGGAAAGGGGGCAAAGGGTTCTGCACAGAAGCCAGGAAAGAGGCTAGCACTCAGAATCAGGAGACCGGGGTGGCCCTGAGATGAGTAGGAAAGAGTAACATTTAACACCTTGATGTCCGTGTGAGACATCTCACAGCACTTACCACCGAAGCAACGATATTGGAAAGCCAGGGTTAACATGATGCCACACTGTGTGTCAGCCAGGAGGCAGGAATGTCTAGTTTGGGCCCCTCTGTCATGACTGCACCCACTGTCTGCTCCTCACCGCCTCTGTTGTTTCCTATTGTTCAACAGGAATGCTCTGATTTGAGAAAAGCGGCTGGCTGGGCATGAACCCCACTTGATGCCTCACGGCCAGAGAGGAAGGCACGCCATCTCCATCTGTCTATCTGTGTGGTGCTTGTACTTCACCACAATGACTTTTCATCTAAGACTCTGGAATCATGCACATGGTGGCATGAACCTGGGAAAGTTAGACGGAAGGATTGCTGAAGTTCGAGCCTGCTGGGGGTATACAGTGAATCTGTTTCGCAAAGCCAAAGCAAAGTTTATCTTCCTTTTCAGAAGGTCACCCTTCACCTAACAAAGTAGAAGCTTTTCCAAAAGTGCCAGACTTCCAGGGCTCTGGAGACAAAGGCCAGGCTGCAGCTGAAATGCAATCAATGGATTCTTAAAATTATATCAAACCACCCTCAGACCTATGGTAAAAACTTTAAATCTGTATTCATAGAACATCAGCTTGTTTTTGAGATGTCAGTGTCCTAAAAGTTTTCCTTTGTGGCCCACCCCCATATCCATAGTCCTTTTGACCCTCCATTCTGTACCTCACTATTCTACTAATAAAACCAAGTGCCAAATAGCATTTCTCCATTCCCTAGTCAAACAAGGAGTCAACAGAAACATCACATTACACTGACCTGAGACCATACAACTGTTGAAGATATCCTCAATCCTTTAAAAACTAAGGTGCTGCCTAGCATGTATTAACTATGAATGCTTTAAAAATAGCCACAGCATTTCTCATGTGCAAGTAATCCATCTAGTTCAGACCCCTGTAAATTATGCATACTTACCTACTGTATGAATTCAGTAGATTTATATCATAGAACCTTAAATCCTGGTTATTTAAAAGGATCCCATCATTTTACACACGAGGAAATCAGAAAACTTAAATAATTAGGTTATTAGTAACTGGATTCTAGGTTTGTCTTTGCCCCATACTTAAGGTGAAGTCATCACGTTTTGCCAAATCACTGTAATTCATCCATACATGGCTCATTGTCTCAGTGTCTGATGCAGACAGAGATCATGTATGATTCAATGTTCCATGGTAGCTAGATTCAAGTCTCACTTCACATTTCCACAGAGCTTGCCATTGTGTCCCGGTTGCCCTGTTTCATGAGTCCAGTTTGTTTGCTTGTTTTTGAGACAGGGTCCATTATGTGACTATGGCTGTCCTGGAACTCTCTCTGACCACCAGGCTGGCCTCAAACTCACAAGAGATCTGCCTGTCTCTGCCTCCCAATTAATGGCACTTGCAATGGGAGCTGGGGCTTCCATTCAATCAGCATCTCCAAGGGTTAGGTGTTAAATGTTTGCTGTTCTTCTCACCCCTCCCCCAAATAAACCCAAAGGAAACACAATGGGGTTTCTAAACATACAAGCAGTAGAACTAAACTAGTTAATTCTCTAAGCTTGTTCTTTTCCATGGAATGGTTAAAGAATTCTGTGTGCCAAGCTGTGTTTAGATTGCAGGCAGGCAGATCTGATGGGCGTTACAGGCATCAGATTATTCTTCTCACGCATTGCATCCCAACTGCAGCCTCCCCTCCCTCCTCTCCTCCCAGCCCCCCTCCCGCACTTCTCTCTCCCAGATCCACTGCTCCTCCGTTTTCCTCCCAAGGATATGAACATGGCATAACAAGATGCAGTAATACCAGGCACAAACCCTCACACCAAGGCTGGGTGAGGTGACCCAGTATGAGGAAAAGGATCCCAAGAGCATACAAAAGAGTCAGAGGCACCCCACTCCCACTGTTCGGAGTTCCACAAGCACACCAAGCTAACAACCTTCACATACATGCAGGGGAACTAGCCCAGACCCACGAAGGCTCCCTGTTTGTCACTTCAGTCTGTGAGCTGGGAACCCTGCTTAGTTAGCTGATTCTGTTTACCTGGTGTCTTTGTCCCCTCTGACTCCTACAATCCTTTCTCCTCTTCTTTAATGGGGTTCCCAGAGCTCTGCCTAAATTCAGCTGTGGGTCTCTGCATCTGCTCCCATCAGCTGTGGGAGAAAGCCTATCTATGACTATAACAGAATATCATTAGGAATCATTTTATTGGCTTTTTTTTTTTTTTCTGTCCTAAGTCTCTGGGCTATCTAACCTTGGGTTCTTTGTCATCCATCAAGGTAGTGTCAGGCATGGGCTCCCTTTCGTGGAGTGGGCCTCAGAATTAGACCAGTCATGGTTGGCCACTCCCACAAGTTCTGTGCCTCCATTCCCACCCCACCCCCAAAAGATCTTGCAGGCAGGATAAGATTTTGTGGCTGGGTTGGTGTCCATTCCCACCATCAGAAATTGCATGGATAAAGAAGGTAGCCAGTTCAGGCTCTGTAGCCTCCATTACTAGGAGTCCATGCTAGGGTCACCTTCACAGAATCTGGGGAGTTTCTACTGCACCAAGTTTCCACTTCGCCCTTCAATGCCCTCCAAGCCCAGTCGTTTCTTCCTGTACTCCGGCTCCATTTCCCCGGCCCCAGCCAAATCTCTCCTATTCCTAGTCCCACCATCAAAATCTATTTTATTTCCCCTTCCCAGAGAGATGCATGTGTCCCCTTTAGAGCTCTCCTTGTTACCTAGCCTTTTTGGGTCTGTGGGTTGTAGTATGGTTATCATTTACTTAACAGCCAATATCCAATTATAAATGAGTATATACCATGTTTGTCTTTCTGAGTAGGGTTACCTACTCAGGGTTTTTTTTTTTTTTTTCTGATTCCATCTATTTGCCTGTAAATTTCACGATGTTAGTTTTTCTAACAACAGAGTAATGCTTCATTGTGTAAATGTACCACAATTTCTTTATCCATTTGTTGGTTCAGGGACATCTAGGTTGTTTACAGTTTCTTGCTATTATGTTTAAAGCTGCTATGAACATCATTGGGCAATTGTTTGTGGCATGATGGACCACCCTTTGGTTATGTGCCTGAAGAGGTCAAAGACAACTTAACCAGACTATCACCATGACAGAGACCGGCCACTGGAGTAGGCCTAAGTTTCAGTTTACTTTTGGCAACCACCCTGTTCCAGGGAAAACTGACATCACCCAAGACTGGACCGATCAGCATTCAGAGGGAAAATACATAAAGTTCCAATTGTAAGAGCACCAGATGTCCCTAAGCCCAGCACACACCTATACTTTTCGCCAAGACACCCCCAGTCAAATGTCAGCCAATCAAGTGTCCTAAAAGATGAAAACCCCCTGACCTCAACCCCTGCTATGAAAAAACAAAAAAACAAAAAAACAACAACAAAAAAAAACTACCCCAACTGGGCTCAAGGCTCTCTGAGGGTCCAAGCTCAAGACTGAATAAAAGTTCTTTGATTTTCATATGGATTCAGACTCCTTGGTAGTCTTTGGGGGAATCTTGAGACTTGGACATAACAAGCCCAAGTGGTATAGCTGGTAGACTGAGTCACAGCTTTCTGAGGAACTGCTCCATATCTCACCAGAATGAACAGTCACTTGTGTTTGTTTTTTGAGACAGGGTTTCTCTGTGTAACCCTGGGCTGTTCTGGAACTAGTCTGTACACCATGCAGGCCCCAAACTCACAGAGATCCACCTGCCTCCCAAGGGCTGGGAGGTGTGTGCCATGATGCCTGGCTGTCCTCCATTTTTAAATTGGAAAGGCTTGTTCTATCTAGTTTCTTGAGTTCTTTATATATTTTGGATATTAGCTCTCTATTGGATGCGGAGTTGATGAAAATCCTTTCCCATTCTAGAGGCTACTGTTTTGTCCTATTTAATGATCTTAGTATCAGCACTATCAGTTTTCAGTTCAGGGAATGGTCTCCTGTGCCAATGTGTTCAAGGCTATATTCTACATTTTCTCTTCTATCAGGTTCAATGTATCTGGATTGACGTCGAAATCTTTGGTCCACTTGGACTTGAGTTTTGTGCAAGGTCATAGGTATGATCTATTTGCATTCTTCTACATGCAGACAAGTTAGACCAGCACCATTTGTTGAAGATGCTTTATTTTTTTTTCCATTGTGTCTTTTTGGCTTATCAAAAATTGGGTGTCCATAGGTATATGGATTTATATCCCGTTCAATTCACTCCACTGGTCAACATGTCTGTTTTTATGCTGATACTATTCCGATTTTATTACAATAGCTCTGCATTACAACTTGAAATCAGGTTCAGGATTGTTTTAGCTATCCTTTTTTTTTTTTTCCATATGAAGTTGAGTATTATTCTTTCAAGGTCTGTAAAGAACTGTGCTGCAACTGAATAGGGATTGCTTTTCATCTTTAGCTGATAGGATGGCCATTTTTACTATGTTGATCCTGCTAATCCATGAAAGGCTGCAACTTATAATTTATAGAACTTGGGGAATTCATAATACACCAATGAAGAAAGGGCTAATAGCAGTTCTGTTATGAAGGTATTTATATGAATAAAATCAAAAGGGCAATTTTTCAGACTTCAATGACATGAGTTGATGATGAACAGGCAGTAATGAACACTATGCTCTAACAACTAACCCATACTCCTACACTAATGAAGCTATAAGGGCCTCTAGTCTTCTCTAGACGTTTCTAAAATGGAGAGCTTTGGTTTGGGTGGAAGATGGGCAGAGTGAAGTACAGTGACTGTAGCAAGCAGTGGCCTTTCCTTCATCTTAAGATGTTAAAGCACAGTGAATTGAGGGGAAGGGGAAAACTGCCATACTTCTGTAAGACTCCACCTTGATTCATGCAATGACTGTGTCCAAACTCCCACATGAATAACATTCTACAAATACAGAAATAAAAAGACAGAAAAAATACCCAAAGACACATAGTTTTCATTGGCTGAACATCTTTCTTCCCATTTTCCTTATAAATAGGTGTGCTGGTTAGTTTTCATTGTCAACGTGGTACAACCTGAAGTTAACTGGGAACAGTATCAATGAGGTTGGCCTATGGGCATGTCTGGGGTATTGTCTTGATAAGTGATGTAAGAAGACCCAGCCAACTGTAGGCAGCACCATTCCATAGCAAGGAAATGCTGAACAATATGAGAGGCAAAGATACATTCTCTCCTTGATCTTGACTGTGGGTGTGATATAACTAGCTGTAGAGTTTCAGCCTTTCCCCAAAATGATTGATTGTAACCTGGAATTGTAGGCCAAATAAACCCTTTCTTCCTTCGTGCTACTTTTTGTCAGGGTGCTTGTCACAGTAACAGAAATGAAACCTAGAAAAATACAGGCAACCAGACAATTCTTGGAAAATGTTGAGGTAAACTAGTACTGGTATTTCTTCCTGGTCCTTATACAACATAAATTTGTTCACAGATAATAACCAGCAATGTGTGCTAATTATATGATTCTCCACAACCCTAAAGAAGTTACATATAACATTTCCAACTTAAGTGTATAGAACTCTAAATAATTATATCGTTTCAGAATCCCAGAGCTGCAAAGAGCTCTACTGACAGCCTGGTCAAATTCTATTTTTTTTTTTAACTAGCAACAGAAATTCCTTCACATTAAATAACTGACCTCAAGTCTTTTATTGGCAAGGATGGAACTCTGTATATGTCATTATTTGGATTTAGCTTTGTATGTCGGTGTGTGTGTGTGTGTGTGTGTGTGTGTGTGTGTGTGTGTGTGTGTGTTCATGTGTACAGAGATGCACAAGTATGTGGGTGTATATGGAGGCCAGAGGACAAGCTTATTTTCATTTTTCAGATGCTGTCCACCTTTTTTTTTGAAACAGGTTCTCTTATTTGAGCATGTCACCATGACTAGCATTTTTTACATAAGATTGGTGGGTGTGGGGGACCAAAGATACTGCCCATCGTTTGTACTTTATCAACTGAGCTACCCAGTGCCTGGGCTTTTAAAAGGATTAATTTACTTCACTTAGAAATAGATCCTGCATACCTACAATGCTACACTAATTTTTTTTTAAGTTATGTTACAAAGGCAATTATGTTCATCTTTAAGTAGCCTACCAGGCAGCATGATATATCACAACCATTTTATTAATTTGAAGCAGTGGGGTAAATCTTTTAACAAGAGTACTGCATATGAATATATGTGGTACTTTGATATAGAATCAGGTTTGATTCAGTCAATTCTGTCATTTACTTTCACTTCTATATGTATAAAAAAACATTTATACCCTAGTGGTTGAGAGAATGGCACACAGCCATGCTTATCTTCTTTCTAGTTTAAATGCATGTAAATGACCTTATGGGCATTACAATTTCACCACACAAGTAATTCATAATTAAGAAAGAAGGGAGAGAGGAGGGAGGGAGGGAGAGAGGGAGGGAGGGCAAGGTCCCCTCTGCAGAAATGTTTGAGAAGACAGTCCTATAATGAGACTGTAATCAAGCACATCCCACAAGGACATGACGGTGACCCACTCTCCTGGAGAGTTTCTGATCTTATCAAGAGTAGAATTACTGGGAGGGAACTGCAGAGATTCTACAAGACTCTCCTAGAGATTACTTTGAACATACTCAAACCTGTAAGGACTACAGTAAGGACAACATGACACTGAATGATTTCCTGAAGAAATGCGTGTCCAGAAAGACACAATAATATGATCAAGTGCTGTTGTAACTTTTGTTGTTGTTTTTCCGTAAAAACAGAGACCAGGAAAGAAGAAAAATGTAGCATTATGAAAACATAAGGAAACACTCTTGAAGAATAAACACTTCACACAGAAGTTTTAAATGTTATCTAATAAATTTCATGTCAAATTTAACTAAACATATAAAAATTTTAAATGGCAACTAATAAATCCCCATGTCAAATCTTTTTTAACAAAATTCACAAATAGATTATAAAAATTGAACCATCATAAATGTCTTCTGTAGAAAGTTTTATGGGAAAGTTGAAGTTTCTACATTATTCTGTTTAATCATATCTTGCGAACTTTAGTTACTGCTGAGAGCAGCAGACACATCTCAAATAACTGCTATGAAGACAATATCACAATTAAAGTTGGACATAGCAGCCTTCCATTAATCTTCAATCATCCACAAATGTTAACCTTCCAGGCCCTTCATTCTTCATCCATCTCCGGTATCGCTTCCACCGAGGGTCATTTGCCAATTTTTTCTTTAATTCTTCCTCTTGTTCCTGCTTGTAGACCTATGAGTATAATAAAAATGACTTTATGATACAAAGAGAAACCCATGTTGTTGTATGTATGGAATGTTTAGTTTTTCAATATAACATCAGATGAACATGTGGATTTGCTTTCTGGAGACTGATTCAAATACAAAGTACTTCAACACCCAGTGTCAGAAAAACAAACTGCACAAGAGCTACAACTTCTCTGTTTTGTTTCTGTGATAGACTCTTACAATGTAGCCCAGGCTGAGCTAAGCAATTCAGACTGACTTTGAATTTACAATCCTCCTACCTCAGCCTTTCCAATGTCTAGGATTAAGACAGGTATACAGCACCATGCTTGGATATGGATTGAATTAGTTCTTTTTTCCCCTTGAGATGTTTTACTTAACCAAGGAACAAATTGGCTCTACATATATATTTGCCTCTAAACTGAATTTACATCTATTTTTCAAAGATAGCTTTTTTTTCTTAAGGTCACCAAATAAAGTTGTATAAATAACATAGGTTAAGAAACAAGAATTTCTAGTATTTCGAGCTTTAGTAAAGCAAAACTAAATAATTTCTTACAGCCAGCTTTACAGCCACATTAATTTTTAAAAAGTATTGCTTCCAAATAAGAGTAATGACTAAGAAAACCTTGTGTAATATAATAATTCAGCCCAATACAATAATCTGAAAAGATAGGGTTTAAAGCAAAAACCTTACAAAAAGCTGTATATGTGTATGTGGATGGCAGTGATAGTGTGTGTGTGTTTGTAAATATGGGTGTTTACACCTGTGTAGAATGCAGAGGTCCAGGGTTGATGGAGATGTCTTTTCTCCTGCATGCCCAGCCTTTAAAACAGGGTCTCTTCTTGAACCCAGAGCTCACGGATTTGGTTGGCTGCCAATGAGCATTAGGGATCCACCTGCCTTCACCAAGCCCAATTTTTCACGTGGTTTCTGGGAACCCAAGAAATCAGTCATGTATGTGAGGCAAGGACTTTACCTAGAGAGGCTCTCCATTCCCTCAAATAGTTTTAAGAGCTAAATAATAGTACATTATTTCCCATTTTTAGGTAAACTACACACAGGAATATATTTACTTGCCAACATCTGGCAACTCCTCGTAATTTTACTTTCAATAAAGTTCTATTTAGAACATTACATACAAAATGGAGTTGACTAAAAAAACAATGTAACATCCAGCATATCTAAAATTTCTGAAGAGTATTTCCGTGTGCTCAGTGCTTACATTCATTACATTAGCCAATGAACTGTATCCAGAGCCTAGGATAGTGAGATTGCTGGAGCCTTCAGCATTGTAGATAGATTGCTGAGCTCATCTAAGTAATTTCTGTAGCTGACAATAGTGGAAGATAACAATAAAATGTCTCAACTTTAAAGATATTACAGTAAGTTGATTTAAATAAAGAGCAAACAACATTCTAAAACTCAGTTCAGAAAATTCTATGCTTAATTATTTTGAAATAAACAATTATTTCAACAATTTTTTTTCTGTCTTGCTTTTTAGGAAAGTAACAAGTTTAATTAGTGTAAACAACAGAAAGTCATCTACACAGCCTATGTACACATCATTCCACTGAAGTTTGACAAGCTAGACTACTCTTTAACTTTTACCAGGATTAACTGATTAGAGTATTTGAAGTACAGCTTCAAAAAAAATTTTTTTTAAATTAAAATCCATTGTCCCACTATAAAATAGTCATACTTTCAAGGAAAGTAGACCCCACATTCCTCCCTTTACTCTGGGACTTCAGAAGTGTAAGAAGGCACTTCTGTAGTGTGACCCCTCACCACTGTGGACCTGCAGCATCAGGAGACACCACTCTTCCTGGTAGCACCCGCCACTCACCTCGTAATTTTCCTTTACCCAAAGCTCCCGCTTAAGAAATGTTTCTTTCTGATGATCCTCCAGGCTGTCAAACTGAGACTGGGACATCTTCATAGATTTTCGTATGAGGTAGAGTCTCTCCTCCTCCCCGTATTCTTTGCCTTTAATGTTAAAGTTATAGATCCACCGGCAGTACCAAGCTATGTATGAGCACAGGTGAAACGGAGCGAGGATGACTTGAAACAGGAGGAGGTCACGTACTTGGGGTTTCTGGTAGCCCCCCTTTATATCTATCTTACTTTTTATAATGTTCTTTATGATGTTCTCCTCCTCGTCACGGATTTCTTCTTTGGATTTCTTATTTTTCCCTTTCTCTTTGGCTTTTTTAAGCAGTCCTTGCTCCTTGGCAATTTCTGTTGCTTGGATGCGGTATTTGGGCACTGTGGCAAGGTAGCTGATTGCTTTATTGTAGCTATTCCACCAGCTGAAATACTAGAACATAAAAATAAGTCATTTTATTAGCAAAATTCATCAAAAAAAAGCAACAGCAGTAATCCTTGAGAATGTCATTCCCCCAAGAAACCCAGCTGACTAAAACTAAGGCTCTGAGCCTTAGCCCCAGCACCTGGCAGGAGGACAGTGATCTCAAAAATCTTACATTATTAGGAAAACACCTCCCCTTTCCTTTGTTTACCGTAGTTTATGTTAAACTCATAACATTTAATAAGACATTTGCTTTAACATTTCACAGGGTGGCTGGGCGGTGGTAGTGCAAGCCTTTAATCCCAGCACCCGGGAGGCAGAGGCAGGCGGATCTCCATGAGTTCGAGACCAGCCTGGTCTACAAGAGCTAGTTCCAGGACAGCCTCCAAAGCCACAGAGAAACCCTGTCTCGAAAAACAAAAAAAAACAAAACATTTCACAGGGTGTAACCTCAGGCAACTTTATTACTTTCTATCTCTTTCCTAATTATCTACGTATCTGACAGGAATACTTATTCAGGACACAAAGCCTCAAGTCTATTTGAATTCTAGTCATTTGGCAAGAGAAAATTCACTCACTTCATAAATATATCCAACCTAAGGGTTTAACTCTTAGACAAGGCATTGCATCTCATACAGCACATCCATGCTTTAGTTCCTATACTAATATCCTGGAAGCTACTAGAAACAGGAGGGAGAGAGGGGAAGGGCAATACTTCTACAAACACTAGTAAGCTGACATATACCACACCTCAGTGTTTAATAGTTATAATAGTTTAACAATTATAATAATTGTTAGTTATCTAAACTGAATATTGTTCTTAGAGAAGCAATTTTCATGGCTGGGGAGATGGCTAAAAGATTTAGAACATATTGATCTTGGAGAGCACCTGGGTTTGGCTCCCAGCACATACAACCATCTCTAATTCCAGCTTCAGGAAACCTACCACCCACTTCTGGCCTCCACAGACACTAGGCACACAGGTGGTTACACCCCCATACACGCAGGCAAACACCAATATACAAAAAAATTAAAAAACTTTAAAGGAGAAAAGCAATTCTCAAACTTGCCAGCTACTTTCTCCCTAGTCATCTGATGTGCTCTTTTCTCTAAATGAACACAAGAAGTGTAGTTAGTTTAAGAATAACAGGGAAGACGTCACTCTAGGCTGAACTTAGATTCCTGTGGTATTTTAAAACCACATAAAGAGTTTGTGTATCTCTCGGAAGCCATTGGTTTTCTAACTGAGCAGCAGCTCCTTCAGAACCATGTGAGGTATTTGGGATTGCTAAAGGCAAGCACTGCTGGCATCAGCCAATAGAAAGCCAGCCTTATTAGGCCATGGTAAGGGTGTTCTTAACTTTTCCAACTTTATGGGAAATCACCGAAAAGTCCTATAAAAGTAATGATATGCTCTGATTGTAGTGTGAATCTAAATACTCTTAAGAGGGAGATAAAAAGAAATAAATAGGTTTGGAAGGTTTTTGTAGCTATGCAATGATATTTGATGTGGTTTGAATGAAAACTGTTTCTGTAACTTAAGGTGTTTGGTGGGACTGTTGGGGAGCATCTGAAACATCTAGGATGTGGAGCCTTGCTAGAGGACGTACAACCCTGGGGGTGGGCTGAGAGCTTACAGCCTCACTCCATTTCCAGGTTGCTCCTTCTACTTTCTGTATGACAAAACGTGATCAGCTAGCTTCCTCCACAGGCTACCTTCCTCACCATTTTGGACTCACTCTGCCACTAAAGCCAGAATGAATATGAATTCTTCTTTTCTTCTTCTTCTTCTTCTTCTTCTTCTTCTTCTTCTTCTTCTTCTTCTTCTTCTTCTTCTTCTTCTTCTTCTTCTTCTTCTTCTTCTTCTTCTCCTTCTCCTTCTTCTTGGCTTTTTGAGGCAGGGTTGCTCTGTGTAACAGTCCTAGATGTCCTGGAACTCACTCTGTACTCCAGGCTGGCCTCGAACTTTCATAGATCTGCCTGCCTCTGCCTCCTAAGTGCTGGGATTACTGATGTGTGCCGCTACGCCTGGAAAAATTCTTCCTTTTATATATTGTTTCTGTTATGGTATTTGATCACAGCAATAGAAAAGTAACAGATAGAATAACCAGCACTAGTTTTTTACACTCCCTGATGACAATGCTAGGGGGCTGGGGGAAGGGTGTGCTCTACCTATAATATATTTGTATGAAAATACCCTTAGGTAATATACCACCATGTACAATGAATATATACAATGAAAAAAATCCTAGAATAAGTATTTTTCAAGCATAAAAAAATGAATCTCAACTGGAAGAAAAATTTACATATGTACTTATAATACAGATTTAATGGCAACACAAATACACAGAAATGTGTAAATATATTTATGAATACACACCTGAAACACTGAAATGGCACATACACTGACCAAAATCACCACCCTAACATCCACTTTTGGGGCTAGGCGCCTGCTGTAGTAGTGGTAGTAATGGCTATAGTATTCTTCTGGGTGATCCAGCATGTAGTCATAATCTTTCCGTGTCTCTTCATCCTGTAAAGTGAGGGACAGTCTATTTCATATGACATTTCACCAAGAGCACCAGTTTATAATCTGCTAATTGAGAACTTCATAATTATGGAAGATACAAATAAAATATTAAATTAAAAAAACTTCCCAATACTCTTAAAGGCACGTATACACTTTGTTTTCAGGACTTTTACATTAGGTATAAAGTTACAACAAAAACATTCCCCAAACTCTTCAGTATTTTCAGTATTCTTGGAAAACCTAACACTTTGGCCATAGTTAACCCTTACTCTTTGCTATAGTAGAAGTTCTTGTAACATCAGGGTATTCTGATACCTACTCAAAAAACACCAAAAAAAAAAAAAAAAAAAAAAAAAGGCTTATCTCCCATTTATATTCACAAGTACAAGTAGATTCCAGCTTTGCCTAGAAAGTTTTTCTGCTGAAAGCAAAGACAGCAAAAAGCAGATGAAACCAGTCTAAGTCTAATCATGTCAAAGAACACTGAGACATCACTTAGCACAACACAAAGGTAAAGACTAGCTTTGTGACCTCGGGCTCTTCTGAGCCTCATTCCCTTTCTTTGTAAAAAGAAATACTAACTGTCCTAATATTTTCCATGGTTGCTCTGAATATCAAATGACATACACTGTACAGTCACATGCTACAGATGTGTAGTGCTCATTGTTGTAACACATTGACAGAGTCCACTTCACAAATAAGGTAACCTATCTTATTAATATAGAATCTGTCCAAAGAATTCTCAAAGTTTTAGGGGATTTTATATATTTCATTTGTTTGTTTATGATGTCTAGGGTGTGCATGTACAAATGTTTGTGTGTGAGAGTACAGGCATGTGAGAGCCACAGTGCAGGTGTGGAGTCAGAGGACAGTGTCAGATGTCAGTCCTCACTTTCCACCTTGTTTGAGGCAGGGACTCTTCTTGTTCACTGCTGTGTACATCCAGCTCAAGGACTTGCAAGCTTCCAGGGAGGGATTCTTCTGTCTCTACCTGCCCTCTCACTGTAGAAGCCCTAGCAATACAGATGCACAGTATGACACCCAGCTTTATGTGGGTTCTTAACTCAGGTCATCATGTTACACACAACATAATAAAAAATTTCTTAAAAGATGAATTTCTTAAAGATTTCTTAAAGGAGCTGGAGAGATGGCCCAGCAGTTAAGATCACTGGCTGTTCTTCCAGAGGTCCTGAGTTCAAGTCCCAGGAACCACATGATGGCTCACAACCATATGCAATGAGATCTGGTGCCCTCCTCTGGCCTGCAGACATACATGCAGGCAGAACACTGTATACATAATAAATAATCTTTTAAAATAGACTTCTTAAAAATCTTACTACTCAGCAGAAAAAAACAACGGAATCTTGAAATTTGCAGGAAAATGGATGGAACTTGAAGAAACCATTCTGAGCAAGGTAACCCAATCACAAAAAGACAAACATGATATGTACTCATGCATATGTGGACCTGCTTTATGATACATAGTAGTGACTGTGCTTTATCAGAGCTGTTTTTAATGATGTTGCTCAGAATGGTTTCCTTCCAGATGATGATTGAGAAGCTAATTAAAAAAAAATGGTGTCAGGTACCACAAGAGTAATAGAACTGTGCTGTTTTCTGGGATTTTTTTTTTTACTTTTTTTTTTTTTTTTAAATGGAGTGTGCTGGATGTCTCTACAATTTTGTTCAAATGACTGCATAACCCAGAAAAGCTGTTGCTGCTATTGATGCATAACATATTGCTATTATTGGTCTTTTTATATAAATATAAATATATATGTATATATATATATACATATATAATTTGAATTTTTGGAAACTTTAGCTGTGTTGTCAACTTTGGAAAAAAGTATTCCAGTTTACCGTGTTGAGTTGGCATTGTACAAAAATTAACAACCATATTGGTCTAGAAATGTTGAACTTAATTTTTTTCCATTTGTACAGGGGTAATGCACTGTATTAAATATGTAAGGTCTTATCTACATGGGTTTGATTACAAAAACTAATAAAGTATTCTCTAAATAAAAAATCTTTTTATATTTTTATGTAATCAATTTTAGCAGATAAATGCCAACATTTATTGAGCTACCTTGGAGCTATTAAAGTATATATAATACAGTTTTTATCTTAAAATAAACCTAATTTTCAACTTGTCCCAATTTACAAAAATGGCAGACTAAGGCCAAGACAAATTCTTTGACCTTTATGTTATGAAACAGAAACCACTGCAAAAACAATAACCTAAGAGGATGCCCTTCTAGTTTAAACTGTTCAATGTTTATCAAGTTGTGCCTTCTGAGTAACAGACACTTCAAAATCCAACTCAGTGCCTATCACTGTGGACGGATACTACGAGGTCTATTTAGAGCTTGCCTGCTTTTAATCAAAATAAAAAGTTGGCTGTGATGATAAAACCTTTCCTGTGTTTATTAAAATCGTTATGTATTTTCCATTAGAAAATTTGAACTTTAGTAAGAGTGCTCAATGAAAGTTATCCTATATTCATTATACTTAAAATATTTCTCTCACTAGCATATAAAAGTGGATATTTAGTTATAAGTATCTTTAAACATGGTATTACAGTATGTAGAGGGATGAAGAGCTTTATATAAGCAGGAGTAGGCTCAGGCTGACACTGTCTTCAAATTCACTCTTTGTATGTTCTCCTTTGTATAAAGGATTTTTTTTCATGGCAGTCTGTATGCTATCAACCCACTATTCCTTATCAAGCTCTAACCTAGGAAGGGTCCATCTCTACATCAGTCACACATCCTGAACACTAACACCCATGTCTCCAGCCCACATCTCTTGAGGTGGCTCACTCAGTATTTTAAGAAATCCTTTTAGAATTTCCCTCTTTTTCCATCATGTTTTTGGTTCTGTTGTCTAATTTTATAGAAATGTCCTCATAAGGCCTGACACTTAGCTTTAACCCAAGCTTCCAACCTTTTGAAATATATTCAAACAAGACTCTTTGTTCCATGTAGATTGCATATAATTTTGAACTAGATGCACACTGAAGTCAGATTCCTGTCGCACTCTACCACTAGTCTCCATAGAGCCCTTTGTCCAGCTTATTTGCCACACCCTAGTTGAGGGCACTGACACCTGGCATGTGAGCACCAATGTGCTATATGCCTATTCACTCTTCTTTCACACTCTATGAACACAGATGCCACTCCTGATCTAGCATCACGTCCAGACCTTCCCCCAGGGTCCCCATCTTCTCAAAGTTTCTGGACTTATGACATCAGGTACTGGACTCCTCTAAGAGGGTGGTGGCTAAAGCTCCAGCAACAACTCCACATCCACCCTAGTATCCGCCTGTCTCAATGTAGTCAGAACTTCCTAAGTCCTGACGATGTATAACACTATAAAGGTCACAGGGTCAAATCTGACTTCTCTTAGGATGGCTTCTTTTTCTAAGGGACACACACCATAAATGTATGTGCCTATTTTGCTTTTTAGAGGTTAAAAAAAGTTCACCACCTCCTTGTTATAGCATTTATTCATTTTACTTAATCTTCACTGTAAAACCTTTTTGTTCCTCTATAAAATGAAAATAATCTTTGAGCTGAAGCAGTCATGAAACTTAAAAAGATTCACAGTTGGTACAAAGTGGAAAAGGAGTGCTCTCAAAGACTATGATCAAAATCCTATTCTTCAGTAACCTACAAAGTTTAAGACACACAGATACCAAGAATAAGTCGCCAAAGACAGAATAAGAATACTATCTTTCTTTTAGGGGCCATTGTAGAGAGTTAAGGTACATTATTATTATGACAGCACTTTCTTCCCTTCTAAAACATCTTAGAACTGAGGTTCACAGGTTTTTCTTGTTCTTCTTCTTCTTCTTTTTTTTTTTTTTTTTTCCTTTTGGTTTTTTGACACAGGGTGTCTCTGTGTAGCTTTGGAGCCTGTCCTGGAACTGACTGTGTAGACCAGGCTAGCCTTGAACTCACAGAGATCCACCTGCCTCTGACTCCCAAGTGCTGGGATTGAAGGCGTGTGCCACCACCTGGCCGGTATTTCATTTTTATCTTGAATGATTCCCCACAGTCAAGAGTTAAATTTCCTTGGCATGCAATAAGACTCCAACACTGGCCAAAGTCACCTACCTAGCAATCCCTCACCACTCTTCTTACTCACAGCAAAACCACGGTTTTGGTATGTTCTTCCAGTGCAGTGTAGCTTCTCTTTCAACACATAACCCTGTCTAATCCGAAGCATATTCCCTTCTTTTAACCTTATGAGCTCCTAAAAGTCACGAATACTACGCTTCAAACAGCCTTCTGTGGTGATGGGGACTGAACCCAGGCCCTTGAGCATGCTAGGCAAGTGCTCTACCACTGAACTACTATCCCTTTCCCTGGAACACTCTTATCACACTTAATGCCTATTTATTATAGCACTTATCACATTGTGATCATCAGGGTATTTTTTTTTTTGTCCTTAAATGAGAATGTGTTAGAAAGTAGGTAGTAGGTTGTTCATTAATCTCTGTATTCCCAGGGCCTAGCTCAGTGCCTGGCAGTCATCAGTATGTCATTTAAAAGCTATGTGAAATGTTTTAAGAGTTTTTTCCTTCTTATACATTTCTCTCCAGCCACACAGATCTGATTTCACCAGCAAGGCTGGATGAGTGATTATGTCACAAAACCCTCAGCTTGACAGAAATGACTGAATTTACAGCTTAAGAAAATATGCTAATGTGGCTAAAACAGCTTGAACAGTTTAATATCTTACCTTTCAATAAGGTAGTACTTTTTCTTTCAGCAATATTGTGGATCTTAAGGTCCCAGGGTCAGGAGATTCGAACTTCTTTCCAAAATCAAAACCTTTATACTTGTTTCTTCCTCTCTGTCCTGAGCCTTGACAAGCAGGGCAATATACTCCTTGTTTCTAATTTCTACAGGAGTAAGTGGTGCTTCTGCTGGTCCATCCATTCCCAATCCTCTTGGGCATATGCAGGAGGACTGGAACACAACCACCAATATCTAGAT